AACCCAAAGAACCTTATATCGTTCACCTTACTAACCAGATATGTATCACTCTTCCTTTTCTTTTGTCTATTTCCCTGAATTATGATTTGGTGATATCATAACCTTGTACTACTATTCTGATTAGTTATTTTAATCACATGACCAAGCCGCAGTACCTGCTAATAAAAGAATTCAAGTATTAGTAAAGTAATAAAAACAATAACTAAATCACCAAATGGAAGTAAAAGGTGCTTATTTGAATTATATACTAACGCTATAAATCTAAAATAGGCCTGGTTACTCAGACCAAGTCTTTTTACACCTCGATCATTGCTTTACTAACATTAGGGTTTGGTTATTATAGTAATAGTATTTTAGCTTAAACAGTATAAAACATATTAGTGTGTATAGTGAGTTGTCATATCTGTTCTAGCAAGTTTTCTGACACAACTCACAAATTCACACTTTTTAATTAGTAGTAACTGTGAGATTGAACTAAGTAATAATTGTTATGGCTGATGCGAATCTGGCTGATGCTAAATTTGGGGGTCTTAATATAGATCTATTACATTTACTAAAACTCATATATACTCTTTTATTTAATTCTAACTCTAAATTCTAGTTTAACTATTACAAAAAAGCTAACAAAATATACCCAAAAAAATTGTAAAATTTTATATCAAAGTAGACCAATATTCAGCATCAGCCAAATTCAGTATCAGCTGTAACAATAATTAATACCTATATATATAAATACTATAAAATTTCTATTTATAAAAAAAAAAAATTAATATAAAAAATTGAATATACGAAACATGTCTCAACAAAGAAACAATGCCAAATTGGCACTCATTCTTGAACAATCTCTAAATACTACTAGTGATTCATCAGAAATCTCTCAAGACCTTCTCAACTTTGGGAACCAGAGTCCCATTAGTGCCTATTTGCCACCAAATTATTATAAAAGCATCTAGCTTATCTTAAGAGATATTGCCAATGCTGCTATAAAAATAGTACAAGAGAATAGTCTTAAAAATCAATTTTGGGGCTATGAGACCAATTAGGCCCAAGTTAAAATGTTTCATAGTATTGTAATGGGTTAACTCAATACCTCAGAATTTCGTGGTACTAGATTAGGATCGAGATGCATAAGTGGCATGATTCAGATTTGCATAAATTGCATGATTATCGAATTAGTAGATGCATAAAAGTAATTTATAGTCTAATAGTATATAATGCATAATGTGTGTGACCTGAATAATAATATATCTGAAGATAATTTTGTAGTTAAGTTAGCAATCTTTAATAATAAAATAATAAGAAAGTTTTAGTTTAGTAAAAATGTTCTACATATCGGCGGATTTTTGGAGTTACTATTAAAAATTCCAATAATAATTAACTATGAATAACTTTTGATCCACTGGTCTGTTTTTGATGAAACAATTACCAAAATGTTTGTCTCGATGAGACGATTCTAATGGACCCAAAATCGTCAAAATCCAACCACAGAATCCTGATATCGTTAATGATTTGTTTCACTTCAGGTGTTTTATAATTGGTTTAACCAATCCTAAAACACCCGAAGTGACGCAAATCTCTATCGACCTCAGGATCCTGAGATTGGATTTTGACGATTTTGGGTCCATTAGAATCGTCTCATCGAGACAAACATTTTGGTAATTGTTTCATAAAAAACAGACTAGTGGATCAAAAGTTATTCATAGTTAATTATTATTGGAATTTTTAATAGTAACTCCAAAAATCCACCAATATAAATTCATATATACTGTATGGTTATCGTTGTAGTCAAGATGACAAAGTAAAGAGGTGGAAGTACCTGGTATGTTAACCCCAGACTGTGTGATCAGCAAAGCGAGTGAAATTCAAAGATTAAAGCAACAAAGACCCATAAGACTGCAAGTAATTTTGACACAAGGACCTGGGTAGTTAAACAGCCCTACTTGCCAAATTTGTTTAAGTCTTGCTATGTGAAGGTTTAAAGAGGCTCATGTTTGTTGAAAGGGCCATGATCAGTGAAATTAAGGTGCCCTAGTTGCCATTACAAAGTTAAAAGATCGTGATCAAAGAAATAACAAAAGGATATAGTTTGCAAAGAGTCAATAAATAAGAACAATAAATATAAAAGTCAATACATATCTGAGTAGTAAAGCTAAATGAATAAACTTGACACCAGTAATCTTGTGGAGTTGTTGGTCAAAAATATAGTAAAAGTAGTGGTTGAAACTATGAAAAACTTGAGGTGATACAAGTAAATTATCATCGTTTCGGGCCTCATCTGTGCTACGTATATCATTGTCCAGGACATTTAGCTTGTGATTGTCTAGATCAAATAAAGCAAAAGTATTGAGACCATGATATAGAGGTATCTAAAATAGAAAAGGAAGGTTAACAGGGAAATAGACAAAAGAAAAGGAAGAGTGATACATATCTGGTTAGTAAGGTGAACGATATAAGGTTCTTTGGGTT